AAAAAAAGAAAACTATCATGATAGCACTTATGTGGGATAAAAAAAAAAGACACTAATGAACTTGTCTACAAAATAGAAGAAGACTCAGACATAGTAAACAAACATGGTTACTTGGGGGGAAAGGGGGTGGGAAGGGATAAATTGGGAGTTTGAGATTTGCAGATGTTAACTACTATATATAAAATAGATAAGAAACAAATTTCTTCTGTATAGCACAGGGAACTATATTCAATATCTTGTAGTTATCTATAATGAAAACGAATATATATGTATACAGATGCATGGCTGGGACATTATGCTGTACACCAGAAATTGACACATTGTAACTGACTATACTTCAGTTAAACAAAATTAAAAACGAATGTCTCAAGGTGCTTCCTTACTGCACAGACCAAACTAGGGGCTGAGAATCCAAAGGGAGTGGATGCTGAAAGGACATGGTCTCCTCTATTCCACCCCATCTCCTCTCTGTCCGGCTCACTCATTAGATGCCAACATCATGGCCCTTCTGGGTAATATAAGAATTTCTGAAACAGTGTTCTCAGGTGGTTATCAATGACCCAGGTATATTACAGCCAAAAAAAAAATTGTTCATATTTGCTTTTTCCTCTAAAGTAAAAATATACATTTATTAGGACTCAGATCCCCATAAATAGTTCTGAGAAATCAACGTGCTTCAGAGAAGTATTCTAGATATGAACCCATGGTTTCTTTGACATGCCTACTCACTGGGCTGGCGTAGGGCTATGCAGAGGTGAACTCCCATTTCCCCAGCAGGGGGCTCCCTTGACAGGTAGTTTGTGTCCACTGAGGTGGACAGAGGAACTTGTGATCGTTCCCCAGTGGTTCCAAGATGCCTAATCCTATTTGGAGGATGTGCTCCAGACAAACTACAGGTGTGTGTGTGGGAGGTGGGGTGGGGAGGACAGTAACTAGTCGCTACTGGGGAATTAAAACCAATCTGGCACCTAAAAATTCAAGTCAAGGTTTAGCTTCTGAAAGCAAGCTACAAGCAAGAGAGACAGAAGTCAGACTGAGCTGGAGAACTTACAACACGGGACTCGAAGGGTTCTCCTGGGCCCCCTGAGCTCAGGCACACACGCGCACTAACGTGGTAGCTGGCTCACCTTGCTGTGTTTTCTGTATTCACTCACCTCTGATTGTGCTTTCGCTTCCTGAATGAGAGTTTGGACAGTAGATTTTGACCCCACTGATGACAAAACAGACTGCAGTCTTTGCTGATCCTCCGCTGACACCAGAAGTTGATGCAAACTAAATGACATAAATACATGTGAAGAACGTTAAAGAAAAACGCGCTTTCTCCATTTTGTAGGATGCATTTTAAATGATCTGCTTTCTACCAGATTGCAAGTATTTTCTGATTTTCAAGCTTTCTTTTGGTCAAAACTCCCATTCCAAACTGAAGAATCCCAAACACTAAACAGGAATTTCATTCATGCCAATGGAAATGGGAGTTCCTATGGATCCTGGGATACCGCCAAGATGTTAGGGGACCAATGCTGGAGTTTAACAGAAAACTTCAGACATACTAAATATTCTACAGGCTCCAGTGAAATCTTTTAAAACATTTTCTGTTTGACTCCAGTCACTTTCAGAGACCCTGATCCTCCCTGTCCTGCCATCTCTGTCGTGGCACTTTTGCATGAGTACCATGTCCTATAGAAGCCTCTCTTTAGAGCAACACTTTTCCCTGTAAACACTTTGTTTTTCCAGTAATGATATTAAAAACAAAACTGGATGCTGGAATAGCAAAAAGGACGTTAGTGGATTTTATTCAGTGAAATCAGAACAAAGGCTGTCGTTCGGCTAATCATGTCACACAATGTTAACATCTTTTGACATGTGGACCGTGGTTCCACAGAATGTTAACATTCCGAGGAGCTGGGTGAGGGGTAATGGGAACTCTACTCTGTCTTTGCAACTTTTCTATAAATCTAAAGCTAGTCCATAAAAAAGAAAGTTTATTTAAATAAAAGGGGAGGGCTGGATACTTACTTAACTGACCAGCTTTTTCCGAAAGGCAGATCCTGGGTGGTCTCACCCGCATCATGGGATGAACCGGGTGCCCCAGGCTCAGCGGCTTTAGGGCTGCTTCCCCCTGGACAGACCCTGTCCACCCCCTTCACATGGCACGAGAGGGCAACGGACCCGTGGAGGCCTCCAGCAGGGGAGCCAAGCGACCTCCGGGGGACGATTTCCAGCTCGGTCTTGAAGAGCACAGCCGTCGGCCCAGCTGAAAAGTCCTCACCACAGAGCTTGTCCAGGTCAGGCATGCTCAGGGCCCTCAGCTCCTGGAGCTTCGAGCGGGATAGAAGCGAGGCCTGGGTGTGACGCACTGAGGACTTGTTCCTCTTGGCGGGAGAGGCCGGGGCCACCGTCGGGGCAGGGATTCCTGAAGGACCAGGTGATCTCTTCGGGTCCAAATCAGCAACCTTGCTACCAGTCTCCACCAGGCTCTGCCGCGAGACAGTCAGCATCATGCTGGAGGGGGACTTGGTCATTGGGGTGTTGAGGGTGCTGGCTTCACCTTGACTTTCACTACAGGAACTCAGGCTGCGTCGCAGTGACCTCGCCGTTGGATCACTGGAGTGGCCGAGGCTTCCAGAAGCCACGCTGCCAGATGACCGTCTCCCAACGGGAGGCTTGGAGCTGACTGACAAGAAAGGAGAGGCCCCAGACTTGGCTGCAGGCCGGTCAGAATTGGCCAAGTTCTCAAAAGATTTGATCCTCTGCTTCACAGAGAAAAATGAGGTAGATTCAGGGGGCCAGTTCTGCTCGGAGTAGTAATGTCGTCTGGTGACTTTGATTTTGTCTGTGAGCAGGCAGCTCGTTTCCTGCACTGAAAGGGCATCCCCCTCATCTGTTGTTGGAAGGTTCCTCGACGTCTCCAGCAGGGGCTTTACACTGTATATGCCCTGTCCATTAACCAGGCCGAGAATACCGCCTCTGGACGCCTTGGCCTCGAGGAGGCCCCCGCTGGTCACGGGGATCTGGCTGTCCCGTGGGGACCGCCCTGGCCTGTGCAGGACATGGCCCTCCCGACCAAAATGGCTGGAGAACTGGGCCGGCATGGAGTAGGTTCTGGTCGCTGGCCGTGGTGTGAAGTAGGGATGGTCATCGGGCGCCGGGCCCACTCGCGCACCATTCCTGGGCATCCCCAGGGAGTCTGACATCTGGCATGACTTGCTGTGGCAGGAATCTGCCCTTCTGGTTGGCAGCTGTGGGGAGGAGGAGGAGGAGGTCAGTTTCGCCACAGTGAAAGATCGCTGCGTCTCCTGCTCCACCTGCGAGGCACAGGACGCGGGTGTGGATGGATGGTTTGCGGACGATTCCACTGACTGGTGACAGAGTCTGATTTCACTCTTCTCCTGACAGTTGCTCTGGGCCAAGAACCCTCTTTCAGTTGGCTTGTCACCACATGCATTCTTTGGCATTCTTTCAGAAGAGAACTCAATGATTTTCAGCTGATTGGTTCTTTCTAGGGGCTCACCTGCAATTATTCTGCTTCTTTTGTCGCCACTCACCTCAGACTGGGCAGCTTTTGCTGCTGAATCTGTTTGGCTGGAGAGGGGCCACTCGCCCTGCCCAGGAGAGGGGGCCTCCCGCTTGCCAGCCCCCATGGACGCGCCGCTCCTTGGTGCCGCGGGACTCGCCGGCCCCGGGGCTGCAGGGGGAGCCTTACTCTCCGGTCCACACTTCGGAGACCGGGGGGTGGCCGGGCAGCCTCGGTCGGGTTCTGAGTGGACAGCTGGGTGGGGCCTACTGCATGCACTTTGCTCAGGAAGAGTCTTGGGGGAGGTCAAGGGTGAAATGAACATCCTAATGCTGGTGTCGGACGCCGAGGGCTTCAGGGAGCCTGGGGCCCCCGGGGGCGGCTTGCTCTCCAGCACACCCTGGGGAGACTGGGGGGCAGCTGCGGCAGTTCTGTCTGGTTCCTCATACTCAGCTGCGTGGAACCGGTGTAGCATCCCCTTCGAAAGCATTTTGTGGGAGGTCTGGGGTGGAACAAGGGCCTTCCTGTGCTCCGCACCCCCCGCCTTCCCTGTATTAGCAGCTGAGACCTCAGAACTGACTTTGCTTTTGCCTTTGATGCTCAGTTTCTTCAGCTTAGGACCTGATTTGGGCTTCTGACAGTTACTCAAAAGGGTTTCCACCGAACTTTTTTTAGGTGGGTCTTTATTCTCAAGATTCAGCTTCAGCGGAGGAGGGCTGTCAGGCACCGCAACCCCCTTTTTGTGGCTTGAGCTCAGCACCTGGCTTTTGGGGTCCGGACTTCTGGCTGGCATCGTGGATTGCTCCTTTTCGGTTTTGCTCTGCGAATGTGTCCCTTGGTTGTTTTTATTAATTTCTTTAAACCAAGCCATGATGGGCCGCCTGGAGACTGTTTTCGGCTTCTGCAGCAAGTCATCGAGGTCTTGACTTTCAGAGATGTGCAGCTTTGCCAGAACCGATTCTCCATTCTCAGGGACACACACCCTGGAGGAGGACCGATTTTCATTTGAGTGAACATTCATTTTCTGCTCTTTACATGGGGTCTTGTCATCTAGCTGGTCACGTTCCAAACCATTCAGCATGTTGGGAGAGCTGGGGGTGGCCTGGGGGTCGAGGATAGGCCTGGTGACTGGAGAAGACCAGGCATCTTCCCCTGCGGAGCGAGCACTGGCGGCTTCCCCGGTTTGCTCCTCACACGAGGGCCTGTGGTTGGGTGAGATCCTTATGTCTGCAGGAGAGTCCTGCTGCTGGAAGCTGCCATCCGAGTGAGGAAGCGGCTGGGGAGCGCCTGGGGCTGACGGGCCTGAGGCTCCTGGCACGAAGGAGGCTCCCTCACACGCATCTCCCGCCGCGTGGCTCAGGGTGCTGGGTTTCACTGGCAGGACTCTGGCTGAAGCCGGGCAGGGGGCCGCCTGAGTAGGAGCAAGTGCAGTAGCTGAGGGCAGAATGGGGGATGCGCTGGGGGAACAGATTTCAACCTGCTCCTCCTCAGACTCTGTTGTGTCTCCCTGGTGAGGAGATCCCGGAGGACAAGGACGAGGAGGGGACCAGCCATCCCTGGTGGGAGCTCGTGGGGCTTCGGTGAGTGAGTCGGGGTCTGAAGACGAGTCCTCAGCATCTCCATACATGGAGGAGAGAGACGGCTCTGTGCTGTCGCCCAGGCCTGATAGGGACGTACTGTCTTCATGGAAATTGCTCAGATTTCTAGAGTAGTTGCTCAGAAAGCTTTTGTTCACAGTAAAATGTCTGTCGGGATTTATGGAGTCCAAAACCGAAGGCTGGGAGGCCCATTGTGGGGGAGGGGCCTGGCTGGAGACCCAGGCCCTCCTGGGAGTGGGGGTGGGGGTCTGGGTCCCTGAGGCCGGTTCAGCCTGCTGGGGGCCTCCATGTCCCGCACCTGCTGCCCGCTGCCCGAGAGCAGTGCCCTCTTGACTCAGCCGCTCCCCTTTCCCAGGAGACTGGAGCCTGGTTCCAGAAGCATCCAGCTCCTTGATGAGCCTGTCAATGTCAGTCACAGGGCTCTCCCGGAGCTCCCCAGGGCAGCCAGGCCCCGAGACACCACTGCACCCGTCCTGGTCCTGGGCCCTGTCACTGGGCAGTGGTAGGGAGGGGCTGGCCTGCAGTACTCCCGCAGACCCGGGGTCTGTTCCCTGGAGGAGAGCTGACTCCCGGCAGTTTTCAGGCATAAAGGTTTGCACAGCCTTGCTGTGTTGACCTGGAGCGCCGTGTCTCTTCTCCTGTGATGGGAGGTCCAGTGACAGCTGGGCATTAGCTGGAGATGCCCCCTCGGCTCTGGGTCCTGCTCGCCCGTGGGCACCTGCCTTCCTGGTGGTGTCAGGCGAGCTGGCCTCTGGGGCTGCTCTAGTCTCGCTGAGATCAGGCCAAGCCGCCGCCGTCATCCCTGGGGATGTGCAATCCTCAGACGCGGGGACCCTGGGTGACTCTGACTCTCTGGGGTCCTCAGGTCTCCTTGCTTGCCCTGTGTCCACTGAGGTCTTGCTGGGGTCAGGGTGAGCCACCTCCTTCTGCCCTGGGGAAGGGACAGAGTCGGGGAAGCTGTCCAGTCCTGGGTTGAGAAGGTAAACAAAAGGTGGAGTGGTGGGGGAGACAAAGGGGGGAAGGTAAGAAAACAGAAAACCACTCAACTGAAAAAGTGAAAATTGTAAAACAGTTTCAATTTTTTGGTTTTTTTTAGAAAGACATTCCACAGCCTAAATGTAGGCCTCGTTGTTTTTGTCTCTGAAATTACAGAGCACTCACATTGAACAAATACCACCCTGCTTTAGAGGCTCTAGAATAACCCAGACGGGCTGGCAGAATGAACCTTCGCCTCTGCCCTTTTTTCCCTCTCTTTTGGTTGTTTTTACGGATGGGGGACACTGGAAATTCTTCACGTGGGTTTCTGTACGCCATCTGCCCTCTGACAACAAAAGGCACAGGGGTCAGGCCGCTGTTCTGTTTGATTCCTTAATTTCAGCTGATTTTGATTCCTAATTTCAACCACCAGGAGACCAGATTACCCCAGGAAGCTGTGACAGAAGGGTGGGGACTTGAGTGGGGTTCTGGAGGGTCAGCATGACCACAGAGGGATATGGAGGAAGGTGAGGAAGGAAAGGGAATCAAAGCAGAGAAGCAAGAAAGAGCATGGACTCTCCGAGGCGCAGGGTAAGATGCCGCCTGCCTGGAGATAGTGGGAAACAGAGTCATTCCATGAGCTGGGTTCCGGAGAGCCACTCCGTCCTGGGGGTTCCTCTTCCAAAGGCCTACATACCCCTGGGTTTATCTGTCCACCTCTGGCACATGGCATCTTATAACAGGTGGAGAAGCTGACATAACAAAGCACACGAGAATTTTCGTATTTTCTTACAAACCCTGGGTCTGAGGTTGGAGTAAAAAACTCAGTCAAATCAAAAGCCCTTGCTTTGAGAAGTATGTCTCTCGCAAATGCTACATTCACTCCACATCTCCCATGCAAATCATCCTAGCCGCCTATGCCTTTTCCCCACTGAAGTTCCTACATCAACAATTAAGAGCTAATTATTAGGACTGAGCACTGTGCTAAAAGTTTTCCATGCACTTAATTTTCCTCTCAATACTGTGATCATCTGCATTGGACCAGTGGGGAACCGAGGCACAGAGTGGTTAAGCAGCGTATCCAGGATCACAGAGTCTGTGGTCACTGGCGCCATAGCCCACAGTTACCTAAACCCTGAGCACGAGAGGGAGGGAGCAGAGACCACGACAAGGCTGGCTCATCAAGACACCCACAGAGACAGGACATAACTTCCCCGGGTCCCTGAGGAAGGCCGGGGGCACACAGTTCCTACCCACGGCCTCCTGCCTTCTCTGCTCAACCTTCCTGAGCTCCCTTCAGCGTGACTTTCCTGCTTCTGCAGTGCCAATGACGGGGAAAAGCAGCCGCGAGACAGGAGCAGGGGCTGTAAGGCCGTTTTTCCGGCCAATCCCCTTGCTGAGCAACCCCTAAAATGCTGTTAGCGGCTTGACTTTCACGCAAAGTGCACAACGTAGAAGGAGATGAAATTACATGGAGGCAGTCACCTTTCAAAATATCCATTCGCTAGGAAACCCGCCAAATGCCCCATAACAGGAAGAAAGCTGGCCCGAGGATGGCGCACCACGGGGCAGAAAGCTCAGCAGCCTTTACACGGATGCCGTCCGTGGGGAAGGACCAGAGGGTCTGGTGCAGCCTCCTAACTGTAAGTGTGCTGACGCTCAGGACCCGGGGCTGAGGACAGCCTGCAAGGCCAGCGCCAGGCCTGCGCGCCCGGAAGCATCTTGCTGACCGCAGCAGGCCCCTAGGCTATTATTTTCCACGGATGCATGAAGTAGAAAATACTATTTTTCCTCTTGTCCTCTGTGGAGGTTTTTCCTGCCATTTTCCATTTGATTTCACGTAAGCAGAGTGCTGAGTTGCTGAAGGGTAGGGAATCCTCCTGTTTCATCCGTGCCTCATTCGCTAGGTACATGTGACAAAGTGGGTCAAGACTGGCTGAACATGTACGCACGCGACGTGGAATTAAAACTGTGAGTTTAGGCACAATGATCTAGTAAAGGTGTTGAATGCAGGTGGGTTTAACTGTCATGAATCGTAAGGTTTCTCTCCCCCTCAAAATTCTCCACATTTTTATGATGGTAACTTCTACCCTCTCATCCTGAAGTGTAACCATTGATAAAATAACCTTACCTGTCCTGGGCTGTTGCTCCTGCCCCGGCGCAGCTTCAGGCAGGTTCTCTGTGGGGTGGCTGGCAACTGGGTGGGGCAGGCCACCAGCTGGCCCTCCATCGGTGGGGACTCCTCCATCCCCAGTGGGCAGCTTTCCCAGAGATTCCTGGCAGAAGAACAACTGTGAGTCACTGTCAAAGGCTTTCAGGGTTTCTGTGTCCTAAGACATCATATGCAAAGAGTTGATTTGGGAAAATTCAAGGAGCCCAGGACTAGAAGCCACAAGATCAGATTCTGGGCTTAAGGTCCCCTAGAAATTTCATCGTCTTGTCCCTCTTTCTCAGCCTCAGTCTTCTTCACTTTAAGATGTGGGTGATTAGGAAAATGCAAAAAAACCCACAATGAGATATCACTTCACACCCATTAGGACGGCTAAATCAAGAAAACAGAAGTAACAAGGGTTAGTGAGGATGTAAAGAAATTAGAACCCCATGTGCCATTGGTGGGAATGTAATACGGTGCAGCCACTATGGAAAACAGTATGGAGGCTCCTCAAAAAAATAAAAACAGAACTCCCACATGATCCAGCAATCCCACTCCTGGATATACAGCTGAAAGAATTGAAAGCAGGGTCTCAAAGAGATATGCATACAGCCATGTTCATAGCAGCATTATTCACAATAGCTAAAATGTGGAAGCAACCCAAGTACCCATCAATGGATGAGAGGATATGCAAAATGTATTATACACATATTATGGAATGTGTATAATTCCATGGAATTATTCCATGGAATGGAATATTATTCAGCCTTAAAAAGGAAGGAAATTCTGACACAGGCTACACCATGGATGAGCTTTGAGGACATTATGCTGAGTGCCATAAGCCAGTCACAAAAAAGACAATTAAATGATTCCACTTAACATGAGGTACACATGCACAGAGTAATCAAAATCACAGAGACAGAAATAGAACGGTGGTTTCCAGGGGTTTGTGGGGTGGGGAGTTACTGTTTAATAGGTACAGAGTTTCCATTTTATAAGACAAAAAGAGTTCTGGAGATGGATGGTGATGATGGTTATACAACATTAGGGATGTATTAATACCACCGAACTGCATACTTTATAAGGGTTAAGATGGTAAATCTTATATTATTTTACCATAATAAAAAATTTTTAAAAAGATGAGGATGGCAAGACTTGCCCTGTCAAACCCATAGAGTTTTAAATAAAAGATGGTTAAATGAGATAATAGTTACAAAAACAACATGCAGCATACAGAAGGCTACAGAGGTGTAAGGTGTTATTGTTACAATATTGCATCGTGCTGCCCAAGACTAAAACCAGCTCCTCAGTTTGGGAGTCAGGGAGAGGACTCATCTGGAGAAATAAAATTAACATTTAACATCTCAAAATTTCACATTAGCCAAGTGCCAAGTACTTCATCTTCCTTTCTTCTATCTAATACCTCCTGTAAAAAAAAAAACTTTTAAAACAAACTTGCTAAAAAGTTAAATCAGGTTTATTTGAAATTTACCCCGAGTGCAGGAGACACAAAGTGGCCCCAAGGTGGCAGCAGAGCAAAGAGGTGGAAGGGATAGAGCATCTTGTAGCCTCTCGTTAAAAAAAAAAAAAAGGAATGTAAATATTTGTATATGTATAACTGAAACACTATGCTGTACACCAGAAATTAATACAGTGAACCAACTATACTTCAATTAAAAAAAAAGAATCATTTAGTAAAATGCCAGTTTATCTGCTGAGGGAAATATACACAGGGCTTTTAACTCAGTGAATTTCATATTAACCGGCAAGGCATAAAGGTAATATATAAAACACGGCAGGAGACTTTGGAATGAGATAGAGGAGGTGACTGTACTGTGTTGTGAATGCAGCAAGTACCACTGAACTGTACACTTTAAAATGTTTAATTTCATGTTATGTGAATTTCATCTCAAGTTTTAAAAGTATTAGATAAAAACAGTAGAAGATTATCCATTTACCAAAAGAGAAACTTTGGGTTTATTTTTAAGCTTTCAACATTTGAGGGTAAATACTTTATAGAAATGCATTCTGTTGTCTTTCATGTATATAAATAAAACTTTGGAACTAACAATTTTATGAGAAAAACTGAACTTCTTCTGTCCAGAAGTTTTAAATGCTACTACAAGTTCTTACTGGGAATACTAATTCACAATTACAAGAGCTCTTATCTTAATAGATATAAATTATTATGAATAAGCCCCCTGGTTTGGCTTTATAAAGTTATTCAAAACTTGCTGGGGTACTTTGAAAAGGAAGGGGTTTACCCATTAGCTGAACATTACATTCTAAAACGCATGTGCTAGTTGGAGATAATCACAGTTTTCTTAGGAGGAAGAAAAAAGATGTGCATTTCTACTTTTTCTAGGTTTATTTTTTTTAAGCCTTCTGCCTAGAATAGCCATTGTGACTTTATACGTTCTGGCTCTCTTTTTATGTATGTTTATACAAACCACTTGAACACCCATCTTTATAAATACAGGCACACCTCATTTTATTGCGCTTTGCAGATACTGCAGGTTTGTTTTTTGTTTTTTGTTTTTTTCAAATTGAAGGTTTGTGACAACCTTGCATCAGGCAAGTCTGTTGGTGCCATTCTTCCAACAGCGTTTCCTCACTTTTGTCATATTTTGTGTCTGTCACATTTTGACACTTCTTGCAATATTTCAAATTTCTTCATTATTATTTTTATGGTGATCTACGATCAGTGATTTGTGATGTTACTATTGCAAAAAGATTATGACTCACTGGAGGCTCCAGTGGTTAGCAGTTTCTAGCAATAAAATATATTTAAGTTAAGGTATGTACATTATTTATTAAGACACAACACTACTGCACAATAGACCACAGTATAGTATAAACATAACTTCTATATACCCTGGGAAACCAAAAATTCATGTGACTCACTTTGTTGTGACCCTTGCCTTACTGCGGTGGTCTGGAAACGAACCTGCAGTGGCTCCGAGGTCTGCCTGTATAGCTTTGTAAGTCATCTTAGATTCTTTGCTTTAAGTGAAATTATTTACGTTGAGATTTGTAAACAGTGTTTGTTTCTCTTTCTCTTTGCTAAAGTGGAGGTTATTGAAATTAAAAAAAATGAGCAATTTGATAATTCTGGGCCATTCTAACATACTGGTAAACAAGTAGTAGTAACATGAGTAATACTGACTTGCATTTAATGTGGCGCATTATACGTTTCTAAGTGAACGCATGCCCGCTAATTCCGCGTGATACAAGGGCATGAGCGGCTGTAATTATACATCGTCACGGCAGAATGTCTGAAAAAGTAAGGATCAGTCAGAACCGTGACCGCTGGAGGTAATCACTGAATTGTATCTGTTGTAATAAACATGTTAAAACAAACAAACATTGTTATTTTTCATTTCCCTTGGTCAATGCATATTAGAATTTGAATGACCTGGGGATTCTTTATCAGAACTATTCTTGTTGAGCATTTATACTTAACTGAAATAATCCCTTAAGGGAGGTTTTGTTTAAAACCCATAAACAGGAAATTGTGTACAAGAATATTTAATGAAATATGAAATTCAACAAGAATGATTAAGTCACTTCCCAAGTGGCTGTCACTTGTTAAACCCTGGTTTACCTGTCTTGTTACTATGACATTTCATTTTGAAGCATGTTTGTGTTGTTGCTAACTGTTCAAGCCTGGTGCTGACCGCTGTTCTTAGCCACCACAAAACGCTACATTTGTGTAACTGGAGCTTCCTGCTGGTATCTAGAAATGGTGGGAAAGCTCAGCTTTGTATATTGTGTCCTATGTTTGATGGTCATCTGGATTCTGCGAGATGATCAGGGCAGACAGCACCATCCCTATTTTACGGCCCAGACGACTGCGGTTCAGAAAGATTCAATAACTTGCCCACGGGACCACCAACTAGTCAGTGGAGAAGCTGTTACCAGACCCAGGGCTTTCATTCACTGGCCTGGCACTTCCCTTCCATCCGTAACCACAGGTAAGAGAGTGGTTGTATCTTCAGGCCCCATGATCTTATGACTCAGCACCTGGGCACTTCCCCCCACCACCCTGGTCAGGTGTTAGCAGGCTCCCAAGCGGTCTGTGTATTGAAATGAATGACTCTGTTGAAGGATAACCCTTCAATCATTATCCTTTCTTTCGGGCGGATTACCCTGCACTTCACAACACACTCCATGCTCACTCATTCAAGACTCACTTAGATCCCAAGTAACTGAGAGGGAGCAGTTACCTTCTCTGCACTTCCGCCTGGCTGATAACCAGTCACGCTCACCCTGATGGAAGCGGTCTGGGCTTTCGGGTCTGAACCACATGGGTCGCTGGCTCCCTCGGTCAGGTGTGCTGTTTCTGAGCTCCTGGGCCCGGCCTCGGTCTCGAGCCTCTTGAGATGTGGGCTGACCCTGGCCACCGGTTTGTGCCTGGACCCCAGGTTGTCCTGATGCTGCTGGAGGGAACTGGGGCTGTCCATGCTCGCCAGCCCCGGGGTGCCTGCCCCGGCTCTGTACGCCAGTTTGGGTGAACTCTTTGATCCTGACAGTTCCTTCCTTCCCGAGCAGCCAGGACTGCCCTTGCGGGGCTCTGAAGGGGCCAGCAGGTTGGAAAGGGTGTCCCCCATGCCCCGTGGGATGCTCTCCTGTAAGTCTGGCGAGCTGCCAAGGAGAGGCACTGAGGAGGCCTTGCTGACTGGCTTCTGGAGCTGTTCCTCTTGGTTGATACCCACAACCTTGGAAGAGGCAGTCAAGACACGTGTAGAGTTGTCCTCTGTCAGAGGCCTGCTGGGACCGGAGAGGGTCCCTGGCAGGGAAATACAGTCCCCCTCGCCATCCAACTCTTCCTCATCGCTGGCATCATCCTCGAAGCAGCCCACCCTTCTCTGGCGCAGGAGAGGATTTCGGAGGACCTGTGGGCTCCCAGGGAGGCTGGCTTGTCTGGCGATTGTCACCTGCTTGTGGAAGAGCCCAGAGGTCCGCTGGCTTCCCAGACACACAAGGCTGTTGGCCCTGGCTTTTCCTGGTTCCTTGTGAGCTGGTGGGGGGTGGGGAAAGAAAAGTCAAATGAAATAGCTTCCGGCTGGTGTGGTTTTTAATCTAAGCCTTCTCATCACACACAAGCGTTTCCACGTTCACAAATGCCAGCTACACACCTTCTGGCCTCTAGACACCAGGCTTGAATGATATGGTTTCTGGGGAGCAGCACAGAGCGGACAGCCAGCTTCCCTCTCTCCTCTTCCTACTGGCCTCCCTTTTTGTGTTTTCATCTTTTTTTTTTTTAACCTCAATCTCTGGATTGTTTAACTTAAACATGTGTGCTGCTTAGAGACAGAAATGGATAACTTGTCAACATCCGTGACATCTAACACATTGCTGGGTTCAAGCCGAATGCTGCTGCTGAGAACTGCTTGGTGGGAGGCTGCCCAGGGACCACCGAGTCCCGCACACCTGGGCCTTCCTGTCACCTGAGGTCCTTCCTTCATCTGCAAAAGGGGGGCTTGATTCATGGGTGCATACGCTCCAAGAGCACAGGGCACTGAAGCCTGAGATTACACATGATTTATAAACTCCAACCTGGGAAGGGAAGGAGAGTGTGGGCTGCTCTGCAAACTCTTTGCATCTTGTTAAATGTAGTGAAATATTACACGGGCTTCCGCCCTGCAGTGCTCCCATCAGAGACTAGAGGAAGCACATCAGTTGCTCCAAGTGAGAGGGAAGGTCCCCGTCTGCCTTGCCGGAGATGGGGGTGGATTTGCTTCTTCAGCCATTAGAAATGAACGAAAGGAAACCACCCAGCAAAGTGGGAGATCAATCTGGTGTCCATCGGATCATTATTTCAGATTATACTGAGAAATAATCAATGCGGTTTCATTTAAAAGCTCGTTTGGTAACATTTGCCTCTTACAAGTTCTGACTTTTTCACTTGCTTCCTTCTAAAGACAACGAAGTTAGGACCCAGTGAGGGGAGGAATTTGGCTAGGATTCCCCTAAAATATAAGGCCATCAGGTTGTCAGCCATAATCTGATGCCACAAATTTCAAGACTCCACTGTGTAAGTAACATGAAGGTGGGTTTAGCCTCCTTCAACACGCTGGGTACAGAAGTGGGGGGCCGGTCATTAACAGTGGGATTTCCCAAGAATAAACTCTGAAGGTAGCCGGGGTGGAAAGGTGGCTTCTACTCAGTGAGAGGCACGGTTCCCAGTTCTCTTTCCACTTCCTAGCACTGTGATATGTGCTCCGTCGTGGCCGGAGTCAGAAAACAGTCCTTGCTTACGGGAGGTGCCGGGCAGCGGGCTGCCATCCACGGAGGTGCTGCAGCCGCTTCCCGGGGGATCCTCGTCCTCAGAGCCAGCCACCACGAAGTCTGACAACAGGCCTGGGACATCTTGCGCAAAGTACTGGGAGAGCTCAGAGTCAGAGGTCAGGGAGTCCTGTTGAAGACGACAGTGTTGGATGAGAAAAAAGGTGGGTCAGATGCGGATTATTTTAAACAGTAATTATGTCCTATCCTTTCTGGGAACACTTTGTTCCAACCTACGGTCGCTCAAAACAGCTGTGATAGTAAACACCCACTTCCACTTACTTTAGGATGGCTAAATTAAATAATGAATGAATTAAAAGGCAGTGGTTGCCAGACAATGTTTTTAAGAAATTTTTTTTGGCTATGATCAGAAAAGCCACAGCAGCAGTACACCAACCACCCCAGGAAAAACACTGAGGGAAGAGAGAGGAAGTAGAACGGAATTCCAAGCCACTGGTCCAGCCGATGGATGAAACAAAACAGCAGGAGAGTTTGAATCCTGTCCTCCGATCCACTGGGAGTTGGGAACAGCCAGCTGAGAAAGATACCACGCTCTCCCTCAAGTTGCAGGTTCCCCCCAGACTGACCCGGGGCCCCCTTTATATTGGAGCAGCTCTTTTTCAAACTGTAGCTCAGTTTTTTAAAATGTTGTTGCTCTGTTCTTTTCCTGGATGAGTATTTAATAAAAGAAACTCACATTTGTATACTTGTTCTCAAATAAGCACTGTTGCTGTTTTCCTGTGTAAAGTGGCCAAAATGACTCACGGACAGAAATACAGGCCGGGCCCTGCAGTTTGACTTATGGGCTCCAGGAATTGGGTCGTGGGCCGGCTGAGCGAGGCAGCAGTGTGCCTTGACTCACCTTTTTTGCAAGAGAAGGACTCTTCAAGGGGGTACCTGTTGGAGGAAAAAATACACTATGTTGTCAAAACAATGAAGCTTAAGTCCTTCTAAAGAGGCTTACGTCCTTAACTGGAAAAGGAGCCAAGCATATTAAACAAAACCTTCTTGGCTTGACAGGCAGCGATGGGCCGCGTGCGTGGGTACAGGCATGCGTGCAGTCTACTCAGGTACCAGATTCCCATCCCAGCCTGCCTCCCTGGATTCTGCTCATGCCAAGACCTAACCCAGATGCTGCTGCCTCCATGATGATCCCGTTGGAAGAAACTTCCTCTGAATTTCAAAAGTACTTTATACTATCTGTTCACGAATCTCCATATGCATAATATAGTTTAATTATAAGTGGATGCACCTCATTTTTCCTCAACTTTTTACCTGTCACTGATCTGGCCCCGCAGTGCTCAGCACCAGGCTCTGGGAAGTGTTCAGTGGTATTTGGGAAATGGATTGAAGGATGAATAAACAAAGGAACACCACCTCCAAAACTCATGAAGAAACCAAGGAGGGGACTGAATATCTATTTTAGTTTTCAGCTGAAGGACAAAAAGACTCAGCATTGAGATTTTAAATTATATTCCACAAGCAAAAAGTTCTTGGGCATGAGGATCATGGCTTAATGAAATCTTTTATAAATGATCGAGTGGATATGTTGGGATTATGAGAGGACAGCATTCAGGCAGGTCAGGAGAATGAGATGGTTGAATAAAGAGCCCATTATGGCTGTGCTCACTTTCAATATATTAATTATGGATGCAAATAATTAGGGGATTTCATGGTTGCCAAAAAATTGTATGCCTTCCTTTTCCTCTGACAATCAGTAACTCGTGTCTCAGGTTCCTCCCAACGTCAGTCTTAACATCAGTAACATCTCGAGCTCAGACACGTTTGCCAAGTCCCTCTGGGTTTCCTTGCTACAGGAAACATTACTCTGCAAGCTTTATGCAAAGTTTCATATTTTAAATTCATCTGAAATTCTTACTAACTCAATCCTTCTCTGCCTGAACTTCCCACTTAAGAAGGTGGGGAAAAAATCATGATTTTTGCAGCCTCTGTTACCCTTCTTAAGTTGAAACTTTTAATTCATGTAAAGAAATCCCAGGTTTTCAGATGGACTGTACTCTGTGTCTACCAAAACGACTGGTCTTTTTGGTAGCACTTCACTTCCACCTAGAACATTTCAGATGGTTTGTACAGAAACACCTGAAATGCTGCTAACTCATTTTGGCAAAGTATCTTAAAGCCGTATAAGAAGCATGCATGGTTGAACTTTAATAGAGCACATTCAGTAACTGCAGAAATCAAAATCAGCGGCTAAGAGAAAGCATGGAATCTCTGACAGCTACTTCTGCCAAACCTGATAATTACCAAGACTCCAGTAATACTGCGCAGGGGAGTGCCCCCGTGGGGAACTTAATGAGAAACTCTTCTGAATGTTGAATGAAGATGTGCAATTACAGTACCTGAGCCAGGAGAGGAACTGGCCTCTTTGCTCTCCTGATAAGTGCTGCGTGCAATCACTTCATCCATTTCCTGCTCAGAAACCTGATTGTCAGCAGAAACCACAAATTAGATGGTTTTATTCCTTTATTCCCCCTCCCCCCCAATAAAAGTAGCTAGGACCAGCGTCAGAGGCTGGAACGCAGACAGAGGAAAACTGCAGGGTCAAAGATTATGACCACCCCCTGATGCACTAATGCAGGGCATGTAAGAAGTATGGCTGGAGGGAGAGGGTATAGCTCAGTGGTAGAGGGCATGCTTAGCAGGTTTGAGGTCCTGGGTTCAATCCCCAGCACCTCCATTAAAATAAATGAATAAATAAATAAACAAACAAACCTAATTACCTCCCCGCCCAAATGAAAATAATAATGAAAGAAGCATGGCTGGGTTACAAATTGCTTCAAACAATGTGTTCAAAACAAGACCTTCAATTGCTTCCCAAGTTCACGAAGCAAAGCTTCCAGCTCTGGTTACCAACAACATGGCTGATACCTGCCTCTCGCCGGACCGCTCACTTTAAATTCTTTTTCCCTGAACTTTAAACAATTTCAAACCTATGTGAAACTTGCAAGAGTAGCCCAAGAATAGTATACCCTTCACCTGGACTCACTATTTTTTAATATTCTGCCACATTTATGCTCATACTGTCTTCACACACACACGCAGCTGTAACTTTTTATAAACCATTTGGGAGTTAGTTGCAGACATCACAACCCTTCACTTGTAAATATTTTACCATGTATTTCCTAAAAACAAGGACATTCTCTTTAACCCTGCTACTATTATCAAATTCAGGAACTTTAAAGTTGATACAAATGGCTGTCTAATACATCACAGTCTTAATATCATCCTTCAGAAACACTATTCAAAGTGTGTTTGTAGACTGGAAATAATTCACCGAGAGTTTGAGGCCAGCCTGAGATGAGATAAAGATTTTCCTCGAGAATGCAAATCAACTCTCAGTTTCTTTCATCAACAGTGTCCTTTGCTACGGGGGAAGATATCAAATGAACTAAACAGTGTGCAGTGATGTGACCGAGTTACATCTGGTGCCCGCTCCTTATCTTGTGGTGGACCTTTAGCGAACTGTCACCAACCTTCTTGCATAATAATGCTTTATAGAAAAAAATATTGTTTTAGGCAGGGGGTTGGTGGGGAGGGTGGAGATTGCAGAATTCAGTTCAGGATCTAGTTCTTATGTCTATTTAGTTTTCTTTAAGCCAAAAAATTCTGAGCCTTTATCTTTCATGATACGGATAATTTGAAAGAAACCAGGCTAATCCATTTGTCATGCTAAAATTTAGATTATGCATTTGGGGCAGAAAAACTACAAAAAGTGTTTCCTTCTCAATGTATTTCCTTCTCAGTGTATCACTCAGGGTCAGCATGTTTCATAAATGGTGACAACCTAGACCACCTGATTCGGGTGGAGTTCACCAGAGCTTTCCTCAGGACATGCTGTTGGTGTTGTCATCAGTGAGTCAAGTCAGGAGATCCTTTCAGATTCTGTCACTATCCTGTTCCCCAATACATTTTCACTCAATTGGTTATTCTTGCCTCAATTAGTTATTATGATAAAGATTTCAAAATAGTGATTTTATAACTCTCTTTTCCTTCTATATTTATTGGTATGATGGTAAATTCATGGATTCCCCACCCCCATCAGTTGTTATCCATAATTGTAATCATTCATGGAAAGATTTTTTAAAAGCCTGACATATGCTGAACTGTATTTTAAAAGACAACTACATGACTTGTATAGTTTCTTTTTTAAAGGTGAAAATATTTTAAATGTAGAATGGTAATGTCATGTACTAAAATAACATTGAGCATAAATACGTTTGGATAAGCAGAGTAATTTGGAAAAGGAAATTAATATTTCGGCACAGGATTCAGCATTACACTTTAACCTAACAGATGAACCATTATCACGTCACGGCGTTTGGGTAACATTTTCTAGCAGACTTCACAGGAAATAAAATACGTACACACATGCACACGGGCACCCCCCCAACCACACACACACCCACACATACCTTCAGAAAGCAGAGAGTCATTTTGTATAAATGAGCCAGTGAAAACACCAGCTTAAACACAGTGGCTGCAAATCTTTCAAAGTTGGTGATGGTTTTTCTGAGTGGGAGAAAAATGGTTGGGGCTTGAAACAAGTGAAAGATGTCCTGGATAACTAATCGTGCTGGAAGCCCCAGGACCAGTTAACACTGGGCCTCTATGACTTCCTTCTGCTTAAACATAAGCTAGAAGCTGCTACCCAAACAGGTCCAAATCAGCTCGTCTAGACCTCCAGGGTTTGAATATCCCAGTTGGGCAGCCACCACTCCAGTCATTATGAGAAACAGAAGAGAAGAAAATCCTTGTGGTATTTCTCTTGGAACAACATGAAAACGAAGGAAGCACATACATTTAGTATCAAAATGGACTACTGGCATGAAATGCTAGGGTAAGTGGGACAGAAATACATTAAACGTAAAATGGAATCTTGACCAAAAGGAAAATATCGTGTGATGTTACAACCAAGAACACCGTGTTTACCTAGGAGGAAACGTGAAATCCACTCAAATACCAAAATTGGGTTTCGCTGGACCTGTCTCCAAACACCATCCTGGTGACCCTCTTACTGCGCTAGAAACATGAGTCACCGACGTGTTCCACAAGATCCCAGACCACCAGTCCATCGAGATTGTTATGCTTTGCGCTGAAACGCCATTTTGATGTTTGATTGTGTTGGCAAATTAGGCAGATACCCTGGGCTGAGCTTAGGCAGACCTCCGAACAAATCATGACCTGTGTTAGGCTGGAATGGATTTTGAAGTCAGGCCTGTCTTGAGGCCAAAGACTGCAAACCACGGAGAACTTAATTTTCTGTAACGTTGCAGAGGCTGTGCTGGGTCAGCCACAGCTTGTTGGACTACTCCCTAAGGTGAGACGAGTGTGGCCATGCGGGTGGTGGAATCCAAGAGAGGACCCTGGAGGGAGGAGCTGAGACCAGGAGGCGACGCGGTGTGAAAGTGACCCAGAGAGGGCCACAGGGTCAGTAGGGGAACAAGGTAGAACAGATTCTAGGGGAGCCACGGAACAGAAAGGAGAAAAATGGGCAGTGACGAGTAGTAAAAAATGGGAAAAGGTAGAAGTGGGACTTGATTTTCTATTAATGCTATATTTATCCAAGAAGTTTTAAAATAAGACAGTTTTGAGAATGCATGCGGACAAGAGAAGACAGTCTCAAGGAAAAAAGTAGTGAGGCTGAGTCTGAATCAATTAAATGGCAACTTCTGTCCAAATACCATGATTGACATCCCCTTCCCAAATCAAGGCACGGAGTCGTGGCTGGATAGCGCTTATGTGGGGGAAGCAGACAACAAACGAACACCACCAAGACAATGAAAACGACCCCATAAAGTTAATACACTAAAGAAATCTCAGACGTGGCATGTGGGAGGACCCACCAGGTCTCCCGGCACACACTTCTCCCTCTTAAAATGGCACACAAGTCCATCCAGCACAGCAGCCTGCAACCATTTAGGATATAATCAAATAATGCTATATTTGGCATATATATGGATGGCCATATGACAGGCGTGGGAAGAGCTAATGCTCTTAATGAGTATTTTGAGTTGCTGAAAGGTCAAATTTTATAAAATGCAACCTGATTACCATGTTAGAGGCAAGCTGATTTGAAAAGATGGAGTACTCAAAAACAAGGACAACAAAAAAAGAGTGCTTGCAGTGGGTTAAGCTGAACTCGCTGAAGGTCCTGTGGTTAGTTTAAAAAACTAAAAGCAATTGCATAAGTGTAGAAGGCCAAGTAAAGCAGAGGCCAACAACGCAGGGGCCGCAATGTACCTGCAAGTCTGGTGTGGGTCGACAGTGTGATACTGATGCTGAAGAAAAACGAGCGGGCTCATAAGGAGTATTCTGCCGAGTTCAAGGATGGTCTGGACAGATCATTTAGCTCAACGCCCTTAGATTTTCTTGATGCAGGACCTCAAAGAGGTTAAGAATCTCACCAGAGATCAAACAGCCAGCTAGGGGTTACTCAGAAGCCAGCACTCCGACCTTCTGCACCTTTTACACACATTTTAAATTCACCAATAATATTGTCAACATTTTCTTTTCTTGGGGGAGGGGGAGAGGTAATTCGACTGACTATTTTATTTAATGGAGTTATGGGGATCGAACCTAGGACCTTGTGTATATACTAAGCATGTGCTCTACCACTGAACTATACCCTCCCCATGTCAACATTTTCTCACAAATTTTTCCAAGTGTGAAGATGAAGGAGTCCAGATCCATAATTCACTTCCCATGCCTATTAGTTACCTGGTCACCGTGTGGTCACAGGCTGATTCCCAACCCCAGTAGGGTGAACTGTCTCACCAAAGAGTATGCACTGTCAGAAGGACATATGTGTCATGGCTACTGGACAAATAGCTGTCTTCAGACTCAGAATAGCACAAAACTTTTCACCTTTGGATTAGGGTGCCGGCCGATTACCAGGCGAACAGGTCCTGGGGGGCATTTGCTCAGGATGGCGTGGACTTTGCTTAAAGCAGCATGGCGAACGTTGACTGAGTTCACTTCCAGGATTTGATCTCCACGGCTAGGGAGGGCAACATAAGCAACAGTCTGTGGTAACGGGTAGCTTTTTACAGGATTTCCTTCTAGGAGAGGTTTATAATATGCAACCTTTTCTGAATACTCTGAACAAGCAAATAACATGCTTTCATCTCTGCATACATACACAAAAGCAATACACTCACGTACACATATTAGATTTTGAATTGGCAAAGCCATTATGCGTATCTATCTGCATTTTCAGCAGCAGTAAAGTTAATAAAATTGATAGTAAGGACAACACTGAGGCTCCCATTTCTTGAGCACATCGCGTCTGCCAGGCACTATACGGATAAATTTACGTAACAATGCTTTGAATAGGTATTATTATTCCCATTATGTAAATAAGGCCACAAGCGCGGAATGGCCACCCACTGTTGAACTCAGGTCTGCCTACTTTCTGACTATCAAGTGATAGAGCCTTCACCACCATCAGTTTCTTTTTTCCTACCATCTTGAATTGGTTATTGGAATATAATTTAAGGAGGAAATATCTGAAGCTCAAAGGTTATCCAAGAATTTGTAAAAACGTTTCAAACTTGAACAAATGAGAAATTGGGGACAAGATGCCCATTCTGACTCGAAAGTATAGGGAGAGAACTCAGGACAAGAGAACAAAGACTCTTTATGTGGGGTTTGAAGAATGTTCATTTGGCAGGCTCCAGACATATGGGACCATTCAAGAAAGAAACATCATCTTGGGATGTCATTAAAGGATTTTTTTTCCTTGGGTTCTAAAAGTATATTTTCTTTAATGTACTTCGGATGATTTGCTAAATTTTTTTTTTCATTTGGAAATTCACTCTGATGATTAACTAAAAACATAATATAATCTATTAACAAGGCCTCAAAATGGCAACCTCAAGGAATGTCATTTTGAGAATTCCTCAACTGCTCAAGGACTACGAAGCTTAGCAGGGAGAAAGATGATACTGTTTGCACAGAGAGCTTTGCGTAATACATGTACATTCTTGTGAAGTTTAGGTGGGCACAGACCCATTGCAATTACTATATAATAGAACACCTAGACCTCTCTTGTGTAAACAGAACACCCACGCTTCAACTCAACTGGCTGGACTGAGAAATCGGACACGCAGTGATTTCAGACAATAAACATCTAGACATCACCACTCAGAAAGGAATGAAACAACAGGAAAGGTTCAGGAGATTATACTTAATAATAAAGGCCTCTTGTTCAAGGGCATAATTTCAGGACCTTCTTGTATCCAGTGATTCTGAACCATTTTGAGCAGTTCCCAGCATCTCATATGAATTTTACATAAATGAATATAAAAGTGAAAGAAAATATTTGGATAAATATATCTATCTATCTTAAGTTGTATGGTGTCAAGTTTCTGAAACTGAACTTCTGGGTCCAAATAGAACAAAACAGGTAGGGAAAGCCAACATCAAGAGTTCTCGAATTCAATCAGATCTCATTTATATTCGCTTTTCATATTTGGAGATGCTTTTAATTGTAATCCCAGCCCTATTACTGCAAATAATACAGACATTTAGAATCTCACAAAGGAATGTAATAGGGCAGGTATTTTACATGTGTATATATTCACATATTCGCAAACACAATGGAACCCCATACTTTCAGGTTTACAACGAACCTCAGATTACTCTCCATCTTGGCCACAGATCCTGGGGCAAGGCTGTGAATGTAGATGCCTGGAGGGCTGTTTTCTAAGGCCAGGCAGCAGGCTCCAATGCCTAATCCAACTCTGGGCTCTGTGGGAGGTATCAGTCAAAGAAAACAAAATTTAAAAAGAAAAGAAAAGCAGTGTGAGTGATTTAAAACCGCATTAATGTATACTTAGACCATTAACCATTTATTTTTGGACGAGACTCAGAATATAAATTCTGCCTTTGTCAACATGGCCATATTCTGTTAATGCAATGAACCCATGGCAGAACCAGGGGCTAACTATGGACTGTGGACTAGTCAGTGGCCCACCCTCTGCTTTGTCTAAAGAGCCCCCTTCAAATCTGTTTTTGGAGACAAGCAGAGTCCAAGGAACATTTGTTTATTCTGGATGTACACTTCAGGGTTTGTGTTTTTGTTTTTGTTTTGTTTTTTGCCTCTCTTTTAGCAACAAATCTCTTGGTTATTTAATTGCTCATCATGTTCCTACAGTAGGTGGGGAGGACCGGGAAACCAAGATTAAAAGCAGTGGGATTTGTTGTCACCCATGACTTTTAGTTACTGGTGTTAACTGTAGTCTTAACCATATTCTTCGTTCTTTAAAATGCTAGCTCTAGAATTACGCTAGTTAGTGACGTTTTTTAACATGAGTCTCTAACACATAGTGACTCATCTGGAGAGAGCTGTTAAAGGACTTTGTGCTACTGGTAACTTCCCTTCTGTATGGTTAGGCCACTCAAGATGGATGTTCTCTTGCTCTCTGTAAATCCCCTGCTGGGTCCACCAGTGTCTGTTTCACGTGCACCCAGCTCACATGACTGACCTTCCTACATATTCACCCCAGGACTCAGCTAGTGATTGTTCTTATCAAACAGGCGGTGAGGGGTGTGTCCCTCTGCTGGTTTCCCTGGTAACAAATGAGCCAACCTGACGTCAGTTCCCTCTATAACTGCTAACCTTCCCCTGCCCGCAGGAGCCAAGACCACCACGACGTCCTGCTCTCGGTCCACTGCACACAGTGGGGTGTTGCTCTAGGAACTTACTTAAGACATGTAAGCTCCCCCCACCCACTAAACCATTGATGTCTCTGTCACTGACTCCGGGCTCTTTCTTGGTCTTGGCGCTGGGTGAGTACACGCCTTGTAGGCCTGCAGGGTGCAGCCCAACACCTTCACTTTGGTAAGATGACTAAAATCTTCACTTTTGATCCCACGGTCCACTTAGAGAATGCCCTACATTGTTGATAGCAGATTGTTCCAAAGGGCCAATTCATAGGAAAATATAAAAAGCTAACCTAAGAACACATTACACATTGTTATTTGAGAGAATGTAAGGAAAGCGAGGACGAGCGGGTATCACCTTTGTTGAGGGTTACTTCCATGACAATTCTGTCCTTGGGCCCCGGGGCCTTTCGACCCAGGGACGAAGAACCGCCTTCATCAGCGCCTCCCGCCGAGGGTGCCCCACTGGCGTTGAAGCTTGGGGAGCTAGATCTGCTCATGTGTGTGGGTGTCGAGCAGGGTGTGAGGCTCGGGCTCACGAGCTTTGTGCGTACCGTTAACACAAATAATCCACTCCGGATTTGCTGCGAAAACAAGGAGAAAGCAGGCTAAAACATTCAGACTATCCTGTATCAAACAGTTAAAAAAAAAAAACACCAAACCCCAACCAGAAGGAAATAAAGAAAAACAAAGATAAAGGAGATCAATAAGAATGTTGTTACCTTAAAGGTATGAATGGCTTCTTGAAATGTCAAGCCCTTGATTGGTATTCCATTTACATCTAGGATTTCATCCCCTAGTGACCAAATTTGAGAATTATATTAACATCAAGCTTTCGTTTACTGGAATCTAACTGCTTGGTCAATACCAGAATAAGATACCATATGGTCTCTGATTTACAACTCTATAAAATGAATTTTACTGTTCCAGCCTACTTTCATTTGCTTAGCTCCCAGGAATGTCACAGAATGGGACAATAAATGACAATGCATATAATTTTACAGTAATTCTGTATCTCCATCTTGAATTAAAACAACTTTAGGAGGCATCAAGATTTTATTCTTTAGCCACTGCCAAGTGTGATAATAGATGTCTTTCATTTAGAGATCAAACTATGAAACCTGAATCCCAAGTCTTTTCTTCCATAGTCTTTCTTCTAAAATTTAAACCCACTGGCAAGGAAGCATGAACACATATAACGTGCGACAAGCCACTCCTGTGTTTGCAGGAAGACATGCTCCCTGAGCCTGGAGAATCATCGTGGTGTGTGCAAAGTGGTTTCAATGACAGAGACAAAAAAGTTAGGAGGTAGTATCTAGGAATGACAGCCCCATCTCATTCTGCATACAGTGTAGACGCCTGGCAAGGTACCGTGTGCTTCTAGATTACTGTAGACTAATATCAAACTTGTTTTCTCTCTCTCTCTTTTCTCTCAAACTATCCTGGACTCATTTTCAACCCCAAGAAGGCACAATCAGGTCATTTTTCAAGCTGTTGATAGTATCTGCCAAGGACATAAAAGAACTTGGACATCCTGTTGACTTATCAGAGCTAGTTTCCAGTTTGTACTCTTGTGACATGGTCTGTTTTTTTGGAATAACAGTTCATCAAAAACACTACAAAAATGCCCCAGAGAGAAGACAGATGAGCCTTGCACAGCAGTGGAGTACAGAAGAGGAACTCCCTTTACCTATAACAAAGTGCAAAGCAGCCTAAGAACACACATTTTCACCTCTGGTGGACAGCCAACCCCAGGGGCATGCTGGGTATCCATTCAAGGAGTCCTGTATATGAGTTATAAAAGACAGCATTACCCCATCTGTTTGGTATGTGCCTGCTCTTTGCTGCGATTACAGAAGTTGTAAAATAAGTGAAATAATCTGTTTAAAAATCACCCAGCATAACTAATTACTCAACTAGGTGAGGTTTTGTGTTTGTTTCCACCTGGGAAAAGGACAGACACATTAACATGATTGCTCATGCCCTTAAAAGTCTTTCTGCAAGATTACTTAAAAGACAGATCATTCAACAGGTTGCAAATTCATTCTGATGACTTACATTTATTGTAAAGGAATGCATACGAAAATACAGAATTTAGGAGAAGCAAGTGCTATCAACCTCTAACTATCGATTTTTTCCCTCCATTTTGCTCCATTCTACCAGCATTGCAGGATACATTTCAATCAGGTGAACACATGGCACATTCATGATAAAAATGCTCTGCTAGAATTTTACATTGTTGTGAAACTGGACACAAACACCACCCAGGAGTTAACCCTTCCTGTGAGACAGAAAGAAATATTCCACCATCAAAATGTTAAGCCTGGTCACGGCTTATCGGCAGCACACAGGCTTCTAGGGTCGCTCTGCCTACAAAAAGGGAGACTCCAATTCACTATTTTTAGTTTTACCAAAATAAGCTGGTTAAACACAACAGCACCTATACTCAGACCAAGTGAACTGAACAGCCACAGCACTTTTTGTGGTAACTAGATACAGTGTGACTTAATCATTCTGTGCAGGAAGATATTAATAAGGGAAAAAAGATGAGGATTCATGCAAGAGTTCTGGGAGCTAATGCACAGTATGGTGCCCTGAATTAACAATACTGTGTTACGTACTTGAAAAGCGCTAAGAGAGTAGATGTTAAATGCCCTCACCACACATGCACACAAAAGGTCATTATGTGAGGTGATGGACATGTTAACTAACATTGTTAGGCAATCATTTTGCAATATATGTGTATCAGATCATCGTGTACACCTTCAACTTACACAATTATCAATTTTATCTCAAGTCAGGAGCAAAAAAATGCTTGTTTAGTATCTTTACATGCAGCAAAATGGGAGGCGCTATGGAGGATGTGAAGGATGTTTATGTACTCCAGCCCCGAGGCAAGAATGCACTATACGCTCTCAGGAAATTTTCAAGGCAAGGAACACAATCAAGGACCAAGGGGACAAGAGAGACATTTAAATACCTAAATAAAAATATCAAGCCACTTCTCACACAATGTCTCATTTAATCCTCACAACCCTTAAAGGTGGGTATTAATATCCCAGGTTACATCAATTGTACAAGGTCATGATTGGAAAGTGCTGAATTCAGCCCAGATCTACTTGACTACCAAGCCCACAGCCTTAGCTGCTGTGCTATTTGCTTCACACCTTGCAAGGGAGCAGATTCTCCTAAATCAGAGCTCAGTGCCCAGGGGGACCGCCAAGAAGTTTCTCCTACCTTCTTTAAGTCTTCCATCCTCTGCAGCTGACCCATTTGGAAAAATGGTCTTGACAAAAATCCCCATCTGTCCTCGAATGCAGTCTCGACCACCAGCAATGCTAAAGCCAAGGCCCTGCACGCAAACCAGATGGGGGTCCAGGTTGTTACTGAAGTATTTAACTGAGGGCATCAGTCCCCGGGGCTCTATTTCACTGAAGGCGCCCTTCCCATTGTAGTATTTAACTGTCCTTCCCAACCAGGTTTGGAGTTAAGCTAACCAGCTGCAAAGTCAACTTTGTGTTCCCTTCACCATTTCCCTCCTCAGATCCATTCGCATTATGCTAGCTATGCATTACATTAAAAGGAGAAAGTTTTAGGTAAACAAATGAAGTTGCCAATGTTTGACAACCTATGACCTCCAAAGATGCCAATTTCACACACATCAACTAACCGCTCATGAAAGTCATTTCATGCTATGCAGGTGCCATATTTGTTTTATTCTTTTGTTTCAGTCTTTCCAGTTTGCATAATACCAAAATAAGCATTTTGATATTTGTGTAATATCAAATTATTTGTATTCTTCTTCTGATAATGGCAATACCATGAGATTCATTCAAAAGGATAGCTGAGAGTCTTCCCTGAAGCTGCAGGGCCTGATTTTCTTTCAATAATGGTAAAAGTTGGGGCCTTCACTTCATCTTTGATTCTGCCCTAGCTGGCAGGTGGTGACTCCTTAAATCATAAGGGCAAAAAAGGTAGGACAAAGTCACTTGGAGGCCACAGGACAGCATGCCAGGGAATCCACTCAAATCTATCCAAAGGCCACTTAATTTGTTCTTCTTCGTACTTCTTTTTTTTTTTTCATGAAAAAGCAACAACACTAAAGAGTAAGCATTTCATAAATATATGCTAACGTTTACCTGGAGAGTAAAATGGTGCACAGAAAAGCGCTCACCTTGCCTTTTTCTTTGTACAGCCCAATAATAGAGATGACTGATGGCCGAATGAGTCTCCAAGGAGATTCCACCTGAGTAGCGCTTAGCGAGCGGGTGGACTTCTTCACAATGTGGTATTCCTAAAAGCCAGCACATGGCAGGGTCAGGGACGGGCTCACTTATCCTGCTGTGGAAAATCTCAGTGGTCTTTTGTGTTAACCGTTTTGCTCGGGCCTCTATCTGGTCCAGAGGCTTAAGTAAAGTTTACTATAAAGAACATTGAGGGAGTAGCCCCTCCTTCGATTGACCCCCGTGCCTTCTTCCTCCACATCAAGAACTGCTTGGAGACCACCTGGTGCTGCTCTTCTCTCAACCCCACTCCGCACACCCTACTTCTTGCTTCCGCGAGTGGAGTTAGGAACCGGAAACCAAGGGGCCTCACAGATGCAGAATGATCATCCTCTGGTCAGGTTCTCCCTTGGAAGTTACCCGTGCCCCCATCCCAAATTCATAATCATGGTTAGAAAGTATCTCACCATTTTAAGCTTAATTCACTCACTCAAAACTTAGTAAGCCTTTGTTTTTTCTAAAACTCAAACCACAAACCCAGACAACTGTTATTCTATATTAAAAAAAAATCCCGCTGAGAAACTGCAGGAGCTTCAGTTCTAATCCCTCACATTTGGAAAATAAAATACTTTCCCACAAGCCACACTTTCCCTCTCTGGCACGCAGCGGCTCAAAAACCTCAACTGCTTTTTCCTGCTCCTCACCCGCCATGTACATGTGTGTAAGCAGGGGGCACTATTTATAACACAAACAAGAGAGTGAATGAATGAAGTGCTAAAGCTCTGCTACAGCCTAGCTCCTGGCTATTCTTCCTGGAATGTACATTTCTCAAATGACACAGATAGTCTCACATAAATTTTTTAAAAAGTCATTTCATGTTTAATATGAGAAAAGAGACACCGGAAAATAGTTTTTACCCTTAATTAGTATAGTTTACATTCAAAGGTAGAAAAGAGATGTCTGCTAATAATATTTTGGTATTTCTGGCAGCTTAGAACAATTATATTTGCAGTTTTACAAAATTATGTGTCAGCCACTTTGGCCTCCCAGACTCTGATTCATTAAAAAGATGATGTTGGCTTGGCAAGGTTATTACCCTTACCGAAACCATCATGGAGATGCCCAGACACAGCCCATGGGTTTTCAACCCGCGAATACATAGGTTCATGTGTAGACTCATAAGGAAACTCCTCCCCTGAGCTCCAGTCTCCAGCAGCACCTCATTTCATCTTTCCTTTGGGAACCAAGGGGAACCAGAGGCCCGCACGCTTCACTGTTCTCTTGAAGAGTTTCAGGGGTCCCACCGCACTTTCCAGACCTCTGTTGTCCAATATGGCAGCCACGAGCCACCTGTGGCTATCTATATTTAAGTTAAGATGAATTCAAATAGAAAATGCACTCCTCAGTCCCACTGGCCACGTTTCATGTGCCTTATAGACACAGGTGGCTGCCCTATTGGGCAACACAGGTGTAACACATTTCCATCACTGCAGAGAGATTTCTTGTATAGATCTATTCTAGACAATACTCAGGGCAAGGAGAGAGAAAAGGAAACAAAAAAAAGAAAAGAAAAGGTGAATCCTGGGAGGAAAAGAAAAGGCAGAAAATAAGAAGAGAAGACAAGAGAAAGAACACTCTGAAGAGGAAAAAAAAGAGTTTCTTTTAAAAAAAATCTTCACTAGCCTGGGCTTCCTGGTTCCTGGGAGCTTGGTTAGAAGTAGGTATTTCTGGGCTATAAACAGTGTTAGATTCCCTCAGCAGGTCGGTTAGGAAATCACCTCAACGCCGGGCATCCTCGGCCATGGCGGCAGCAAGCCCTCTCTCATCTTGGCACTAACTGAACTAACTCAAACAGTCTGACAGCGCGGCTCTCCTACTACTTCCTGATCTCCCCTCGACTCTGCTGCTCCCAATGGGTCTTTCTGGGCAGGCCACAGACCTGCCTCCAGACACGGGTCTGGAGGAGCTTTAACCAGACCCCGTGCAAGTTCTTTGCTCTGCTTTTTCTCCGAGCTCCAACTCTCGAGTTGCCCTTGCGTGGATTCAACACGAGTTATCTCCAACAGCAACTGCCTCTGAAACGTGGGCACTTTTAAACCGTGTTGGTCGGGTCAAACGTCCTCCACAGTGATTCTGGCATCTCATGTTGAGAAAAATACTCAACCGCTTTGAGACTCAGCTCTCTTATCTGTAGAAGGTGACACACCAAAAGCAAGGGCCCAATCCAGAGGCCCAAACCAGGTCTTTCAGAACTCAAGAGTCTCCAAGCACCTACAGGTGTCCCTGTTGCCACACCCTCCTCCCCATCCCTGCTTCATTGTGGGCCTGGGGACAAGATGCCAGTGACTCTTCTTGAGCCCTCTGGCTGATGGCACCAGGACTCGAAGAACACTCCTCGAGTTCCCCAGACACTGAGCCTGCCTCCAACTTGGTCCTGAGACGTCCACCTGGCTGCAACGGGGCTGAGGGTGATGTCACTGAGGAACTCCTGGGCAGGGTGATGGAGCCCCAAGCTCTGCTGGGGACAAACATGCACATCACCCCTACCTCACCCGTCGTCTCTGCAGCCTCCCTGACCTGGGCTGGCTGAGTCATCACTGTGTAACAGGGAGGACCCCAGGCACGGCGCGCACATGCACACACACTCCCTCCCTCTCTTGCACGTCCCCACACCCACCCGCCACCGGCTATGCTGACACGTGACACACCCACTAAACGAGATGGTGGTTCACCACAGACCGTGAGGCGCCGTTGTCTCCTGGCAGTTGAGAGCCGCTCTCGTTTCCAAAACACACAGTAGGAAGAGGATCAAGATTTTGAACTCCAACAAGGGATTTTTTTCCTTCTCTACTATTTTCACATCTTAGGCTGCCTTCCTTTTAGCCTCCCCAGCTAGACCTCACTGACAGTACTCTATCTCTACACCCAAATGCCCCTGGCCCCCGCAGAAGGGAAGTTCTTCAGGGCACCGAAGCTCCTGCTGGTCTCTGAAAAAATCAAAGAAAACCTAGGGACCCAGGGCTGGAAACATGCTCTTCGTCCCTAACCAAGTAACTGAGCCTGGAAAAAAAAGCAGGGAGCCCCACGGCCCTGCCTACCTGTGCTGTGCTCGTGGAGTCCAGCAGCTGGGGAAGGGAGTGCTTCCGGCCGTCTCGGGACACCTCCAGCATCCTGGCCCGGGGGTCCCCGTTCCGCACCATCAGCTCATTGTATTCTTCAACAGACTCTAGACGGTGTACACCCCCTTGAAACAACAGAGGGAAAACATGACTGGATACAGAATGGAAAGAATCTAAAGAGCATACACAGGTGTCATCTCAGTGCCTTTACACCCACATTCACGGTCTCTCAGAAGGCCCGGTGTCCAGTGCTTTCACAGCACCCAGCTCACTGCGGTCTACCATCCAGCTCTGCATAAGCTAGATGTGTGTTGAGGCCATAGTGCCAGACTACGAAGAAAGCGCTCATTTTTGAAGTGACCAGCTTGGATAAAGGGCAATGTTTATGTTTCATCCAAGTAAGATGGAGCTGTGGTTGATAAGGTAGTAAACAACAGTGCTGCGAATGCGTTCAGCAGATGCCTTTCTAGTGATGGAGGACTGTCACTCTGTGGGTGGTACTGTTCCATTGTTGGGGAAGCTGCTTTTTTTCATGTGTAGTAATGACTTTTTCAGTAAACTTTTAAAGTATAACAACTTACAGAAATGTGCACAAATCATTAAGGGTCCATTCAGTTCCATGAAATTCCACCAAGTGAACATGCCAATAACCAACATCCAGACTAAGAAACAGAATCGCACCAGGTCCCCAAATCCCCTTTTATGCCATTAACCACCCCCCTACCCAAGGTTAACCATTACCTGACATCACTGATTACTTTTGCCTATTTTCAAACAAGTGAACGCACGCAGTAAGTTCGGTTTTTGTATCTGGCTCCTTGTTCTTAGTTTTGTGAGTGAAATTCTGCCATGCTATTGCAAGCCCGTAGTTTGTTCATGCCATTTCTGCATACTATTTTATTGTGTAAACACATAACAACTTATTTATACATTCTATGCCTGAGGGACAACTGATTTGTTTCCAACTTTAGATCTAGAATAAGGGTCTGCAAACGTTTTTCTGTAAAGGCCAGATAGTAAATGTTTTAGGCTTCTATGGGTTACAAATGTCTCAGCCACACATTCTTCAAACAATTTTTTTTATAATGCACTAGAAAGGTAGAAAGCCTTTCTATCTGTGGGCCATACAAATACAGCTGTGGGCAGTGGTTTGCTGACCCCTGATCTATACTGTTATTGGACATCCTGTGCATGTCGTATCTACTGCATGTACCTAGGAGGGGAGGGGCTGGGTTCCAGGTATGTGTTCACCATCACCACGTGGTATCACCAGGGTGCGTGAGTGCTAGT